GACTCTGCGCGTGTCCGTGTGTTATGTATACGTGTGTGCGCGCATATGTATACACAACACATACGCGTGGGGCGACGAGTGTATGCGTGCCCCCAAGAAGAGAGAGACGTACATGATAGATATAGATATAGACAGATATATATGAGAGATTTGCAAGGATTGCGAATTATGTGCGCCTTTATAGATCGGGCGCAGTTATGTTAGAGAAGTTATAAAGGTGCATGGTGATGGATAGAGTGATCTTTTGCTGGAAGAGATACGTTATCACACAAAACTTTTTGCACACACAGCGAGAGAGACTTACCTCGTGTAAGCCTTTTGCCATTACAATACTACACACAACGCGGCACTGCCGTCCCTTAACGTCCACTGGAGTGCCAGCGCGAAGAGCGCTGGTGCCTCGCGGATCACAGGCACACTTCTCTCTCTCTCTCTCTCTCTCGCTCTTTTTCTCTCTCTCTCTCTCTCTCTCTCTCTCGCGCGCTAAGGCAGTTCTCTCTCTCTCTCTCTCTCTCTCTCTTTCGCTCGGCTCGAGCGTATATACGTCTCACTACATGTATGTATATGTATATACGTGTGTGTACGTATTATATATCGTACCGTATAGCATAGCATACGGCGCGGCCTTATTTTTAAAATACTTTTGACCTTCGCGCATCTGCCGTTGGTCGCGCGCGCGAACGAGTAGTAGCCGAGCGAGAGAGCTCGAGCTCTGTGCGCCGCTTCTGCTTGCCTTGCTGCTGCTTAATATTGCTATACGGCACACTATAAGTGTTCTGCGCGCTGTGCTTCATGGAATGCCCGACTTAGAAGGCGCCTTTATACTTTAATACACACATACACTCCGAACGCAACGCGATGACGACGACGACGACGGCTTCTCGCTCTCTCGCTCGCGTTGCGATGTGTTATAATTATAAAAAGGTGATTTAGCAACGCAAAGGCCGGAGAAGCACTCCGAAGAATCGAGAGGAGTGCTGTTGGGCTACTCAATGAAGAGACGAAAACAAAAAGAGCTTATGCCATCATTTTTTTTCCAGTAATACAAATATAACCATTCGATATTCTGGACATAGGGCCATTACGCAGCATAATGTAATTTCAATAAGCATCGAATTCCAGTATTTACTTCATTTTCTCTCTAATACAAAACGTGATCGCGCACGCATCACCTACGCATGGAAAAATTTTTTATGAATCATGTATTCTCTCGTAAGAATTTGAAGTAAATAATGAGAAGTTAACTTTAAGGTTTTAGGTGATGGATCGCACTCCATTCAGCTGTACTGACCTGAATTGATACTTTTATTCAGAGAGTAGCAGCCCAGCCCGGATGCACACAAGGCAGGGTCTATATAGGAGGTACAATACAAGCGCAAGAGCCAAGGCAGACTACTAATTGTTCATTTAACGGATTACTTTAATTTCTATGATAATGAGCCGAGAAGGAACGAAGAAGAAGAAGAAGTTCGTTGGCTCGTCTCATGGTCAAAATTAAAATATACCGATCTGGGAATTGCCCAAGCACATCGCGATCTTTTTCATTAAAAAAGAAGCGTAAAGGCGAAAGAAAAGGTCTAATGAGATCTTTTTCCGAAATGCTACAAAATATATGAGTGTATTATTTACTCTCGCTCACTATCCTCTCCCTCTCTCTCTCCTCGTGTTTACGCATCATATTATAGATGTAATAATTCGAACGAGAAACAGAGGTCGTGTCGCGTTGGTCGAGTCGAGCTTTCGGAGCTATTAGATCATTAAATTACGCACAGTCGAGCTAATTCGCACCACAACTTCGTAGTTTATAAACTACGTAATTGATTGAATTTTCGTATATTAAGAAGCTAAGCTGCTGGGCACCGGCAAATCTATATATACATAGTCATGTACTCGTGGCCGTAAATGAGTAAGCTTTCGTTGCACAATTTTGCCCAAGCAGTTCGTATAAGAGGCCGAAATCAAAATGCGAGCGAATGAAATTCACGCGCGCAGTCACAGCCGAGAAGCTACTTGTCCAAACGCGCGCGATGACTATCTTTTAATCGACCTGCTGCTCGGCTGCATTTCTCTCTTTCTCTTTCTCTCTCTCTTCCTTACTTGACCGGAGATAAAATCAACTCGACGCGAGGCGGCGAGTAGGTACTTCCTCGCCCGATCAATCTTGTATGTACGCAGGGCGCTTATATTCGAGAAATGTAATGTACTCCTCGCGTGATTTCCGGAGTGGCTTTCATGCCTCGACGAGTTTAAAAATGCGCCTCGAGTGAGCGAGGCAAATAAGGTAAAATAAACGCCTTTTTCACTTCTTGGCTGCTTTTTTTTTATCGTTTACGACCGATTAGTCATGCATTCTCTATGCGAAAAATGGTCTCGTATCAGCCAACGGCAGTAGCAGCAGCAGTCCCTTCTCCCCCTTAGCGCACGACAAAATACGGTTTTTGTGCAAGAAAAAGATGGTGAAAGGAGTCACCAAAAAACATCGTCAGCAGGACCGGTCGGAGAAGCGTCTGGAATGTTGCGTATAGATTACCTTACACGTTGGTATTTATTTATCTAAAATTGAGAGAGAGACAGACGTTGTATCAAAACTCTCTTGGGTCGAATCGATTTTTTTGTAAATATATATACCTGGCCTATACCTTGGCTCTTTTGGGCTATTAGCATACGCGATAATGAATTATTCATACTTCGGAGTTCCATCAGGGACATTCATTATGAGATTCTAACATTTTTCACTTACTTGCGATGATCATTTTTTTCGATGCGCGCGCCATTCATTGTTACCTAATGCATAAAGGATATTTAGTGTGCTTCGAGGCGTTTTTCGTCGACAATTTATTTTTTGTTTCAGTGACATAATCCTTCCTTTTTAAAGTGTTATATCAGAATATTTGTAAATAATATACCGATGCATTAATTTTTTATGACAAAAAGCTGCTGCTCTTCCTTCAAAAATGCTATCTCGATTTTTACTGTGCAAAAAAATGGCATAGCCCAAGGACTGATTTCACCTCGAACTCCACGGCGGGAATTAAAAATGCTCGGGACAAGACGTTAATGTTTCTGTCTCTCCTTCGAAAGGCATTAATAAGGGATTCCAAAACCACAGGGAGATAAATTTAAAGGACGATAAAGCCTCGCAGACGTCTTGAGAGTAAAAAATTCTCTTCTGCTCTATGAATCATTTGCAATCTTCACTTTCTAAATATTCATCTGTTAATTATAGGATCTTTTGAAAAAAAAAAATTACGTCAAGAACTCGATGATAGCTTTTACCCTGGCGTACATAGCCCTGGCTTCAACTATATAAAGATAAAAAAATTAATTAACAACGCTATTCAGCATCGAGAGATTTACCCAAGTTAAACTTTGAAAAAATAAACGAGTACAACACCGTGTTCAAGAAATTTTTTTTTTCGTTCTAAAAAGCAATTACCGTAAGCTTTTACCTCAAATCGTTACAAAATTGATCCTTCGCAAGAGTTTCTAATTGTATCGCTCGAGCCTTGGCAAAATAAAATTGCTAACTTGAATGACAGATGAGGGCGCACTGCTGCGTAACTCAACTTGGAGAGGAGCATTTTGCTCAAGTTTGTAATTTGTATCAACTCAATTATTATTACTCGCATGTTAATTTTGGAAACAAAAAATGTAATTTACCTCCTTCAGCGTATACTCGCGTGAATATTTCGCAAAGGCACACTCGATGTTTCTATTAGTTTTTCTATATTCCTTTTTTATACTTTTCCACGAACGAGCGAAGAATCGAGCCAGGTCGAATTTTAATTAGAGTTCGGGGCCCGAGAGAATGGATCTGTCTTGTCGGACCAAAAATGAATTTATAACTATGAAACGATGAAAAAAAAATGAAAAAAAGGAGTGAACGAAATGTACTCGAGCGTTTGTACTTTCTCATTTCTATTATCGACGTTTAATTCCGGCTGTACAAATTTATGTAATTACGAGATCCGAGATTTTAATACGTCGTAGTCTCTCACTATACATCGAGGATGCGTAACTCATCTAAAGGGTTTTTCATCAAACTGCCGTTGCGCGATACGCGTTTTTTTTTTCGAGGAAAGCCTTTTGAAATTAATTGTGAGATGGAAAAAAATATATATAAAAAAAAATCATCGAAAAAAACTGAATTTCGAAAGAGATCAAAGCGCGACAAAGACAAAAAGCTATGCTGCGCGTGGACTGAATGCCTTGCGGCAAAATTACTACTAAAGCTATTTTCACGGCAGAAAAATATTCTCTAGTTTTGTAATCTCTTTTACTCTTTCTACCTAGTAGTACCTATGTAGTGAGCGCGCAGCTCTACGCGAACAGTTGCGCGGCACACGCGCATGGGTATATGACGTTGGGGTTTTTCTTCTCTTTTTTTTGGTGGTACTAGAGAAAACGAGTGTACTATGGTAGCTTTCTCTCTCTCTCTCCTAAAAAGTTTGAGTGTCCCTTGGCATGCCTGCTCAATTTGTAATTCAAAAGGCTCGAAGAAGTACGCATGTAATTGATATACTTTTGTGAAAAAAGATTTTTTTTCCATTTTTTTGCAGAGTTAAATGGTTGGGAGGGGTGGGTGGGTATGATATATTCCATTGTTTCAGATTGCACGTATCAACGCTTGTTGCTTGTGCGGAGAAAAAAATTCCAAGCGTCGCGTTTGAGTGCACAAGGAAAATAGCATTTATGTCGTTTTTATAACAACGTTGTAAAAGCTCCAAAAAAATGTGCGGCGGCAAAACTTCGGTCTGCTGCTGCCGCTCGACGGAATAGATTTAGGGTAACTGCAAAGAAACGCTGTCGGGGAAAACCACTGATGTATACATGTTCTTATATATATATATATATATATATAACANTTGTTGCGCAATAAAATTATGGACGCATACCATGGAGCATATAAGACACATTCCTATGTTGTATAATTATGAATAATTAAAATATGATATAGTTAATGAAAAAGTAATGAATATAATATATGTATATATATATACCTTGGTCCACCAAAAGGGAATGCGACGAGCACGTGCAGTGGCCCATAAAAAAAATATATCGAGCTTCACAGCAGGTGGCATCGTCGTCGTCGTTTCGATTTGTCAAATCTTCAAATGATGCAATTATTTTCGAGTCGCAAAACGCGGCATCCCGTCGTCGCTCTTTCGTGCCCGCGAAAAAATAATAATTTTTATTTTTCCAGCTTATTTATTTTTCGCTTTGCAGCTTACGCTCACGCGATCGCGGACGCGCGCGCGCCATACGCAGATCGCTCGCACAACACACGACGACGAGACGAGGGTTAGAGGCAAAAGTGCACATGCATGCGACGACGACTCCTCGACCTTGTTTCACCCTGTCCGTCGCACACACGTCGCTGCCGTTGCTGCACTGCGAGGAGAGTTTTTACCCCCTCGCTTATATGGTGGAGACGATCGATATGTGTGTGTACAGAGTCTCTTTCTCTCTCCGGGTTTCCCGAGCTTTTACAGTAGCATTTACGATTATGCACAGTTTTATTTTTTTTTTTTCAACGTTTTTTTTCATTTTTTTTCTCAAGAATATATTTAGACGTTAATTGAACGATTATTGGTCCCATACGCTTTTAGCCACGGATTACTATTTAAGTATAAGAAAATACGAATGATTTGTCGTGCATTTTTCATACGGATTAAGTCGGTAGCAGAGGGAAAAGGGAAAAATTCGCAGTTCAGCGCCCAACACTCTGCTTCGGCTGCTGCAGGGTGCGCTGGATGCATAGATATCTTCAGTGACGACACATTGGATGGGCGACATACACACACAAACACAAACTCGCACATACACGGGCGCACGCGCACACACACATGCGCGCGCGATGAAAACGTGCATGAGCCATCTTCGAAATGTCGTTGGATGCTTTCGTGCTTTTAAGTGTCTCTGCTGAGTGCCCTTTTTTCTTTTCTTTTTTTTTCTTTTTTTAAGCCTTTTTTACTCTCTTACGCGCGCGAAGCTTTCTCTCCGTATTGAGCTGCTGCGCACAAGCTACATCGCGCGATCATTGGACCCATGTTTCTAGCTGCTATTTTTTCTGTTTATTTATTTTTATTTATTTTTTTTTTTTGTTTTACTTCACTACATGGACGTATTTTACCGATTATCTTCATTGTTTTCTCAGAAAAATATACGTATTATGCCTCGTTCGAACGCACAGAGGGAGGATTCACGGATTGTGGGGCCGTTTCTCTCTCCTCGCATATTTATACACACACACAATTTTGTAGAACGTTATGTAGTATCAAGAAATATACATAAAAATTCCGTTCGCGCTATATAGTAGAGTACGCTAATTCCCCTTTTTTTAAAAGTATACACAACAATATGTAATTGTCATAGATCGACCGCAAGTACTTATTAAAGAATGTAGTAAGCTCGTTTCACAAACACGTATGTATAATAATAACGCGACTACTACACGATACATAATTGAACGAAATACAGTACAGTACACGTTGTTGTAATCGCAACAACTCGCGCTCATACACAAGCTCATACATATCGAAACGTACGCATACACATACAAATATATACGCGCGCGCAAGCTCACACAAATTAAACACGAGCAATTAACAAATTCGTTGTTCCGCCGAAACTTTTCCCCCGTATAACTGCATCTCGTGCAGAGTATTATATTTATATAATATATATAGAGATGCTATATCATAAACGCATGAATATGTACATATCACAGCCTATACATGACTTCGTTGTCGTTAATGTAATTGTTGTTGTTTAATTGTGCGCGGGGCGTGTGCGTCGCATCGTCATCGTCCCGCGCGTCCACACAACTGCTACTATAATACTACGGCCCACGCGCGACCCGCTTGCCCAAATGAGTTACTACTGCACATGCACCGGCGGCGGCGTCGGTGGCGGCGGCACACGAGAGAGAGACGTATGCGTGTTATGAATATCATAGTATATTTCTGTTTTTGTATGCCGCGTACGGTGCAGCGTATCCCAAGCTCGTACACCCATAAACGCGCTGTACTAATTGATCTAAACCCCGAGAATACGCGATTCGCGCGGGAGGGCTGCAAAAATAGAGTGGTAAGAATTTGGTCAGGTTTTTTTTTTTTCAATTTTTTTTCGAGATTCGACTGTATTCCAGTCATATTCACGTACACACAGACACGCACACACACTCGTTCTCTAACGTGCATGCAAAATTTATGCTTTTTCTGCTCTCCTGTATATACTGCTTTACCTTTTACCAAAATGTGTGTGTGTACTTACAACTCGGCTGGGAAATCAATGTTTTCCGGTTTTGCGCGCGGTACAGTACGGTACAAGCAAGAACCGAATTTGCCACGACCCGAGTACTCGAAAAGCACACCGAGTCGTGCTTGCAAGCTCTCTCTCTCTCTCTGTCTTTCTGTTGCAAAACGCGCGTTGCGCCCCGCTCGCTCACTCGTTGCTGCTGCAAATATATGTAAATATACACAAAACGAAGTTGATCATTTGGATAATGTTCTTATTCGGCGTTGGCAGTTTATACACGTGTATACTCGGGATGCTGCTGCTGCTGCCGCACGCGCGCGCGAGAGAGAGAGAGACCTCGTCGAGCCCCGAGAGCTGTTACTTGGGCTCTCTATCTCTCTTGCTCTCTCTCCTGCCCCCTCTCTGTCGAAGCTCTAAGCGCCCTGCAACTCCTTCTCTACGCGAAAATCCGATGAAAAGTTTCATTTGCTCTACACTCGCACACACAGCGGTAACCGCATTATCTCTCTCACTCTCTCTCAGTAGAGAGTTTAAGCTCGGGCTACGTATATATAGGTAAACTCGATGCAGCTCGCGCGCGCTCGCGTTATATTAGCCCCACGTGCTGTACGTATGTAGGTGTGTGTGTGTGCGAGCAAGGCTACGAATTTTGTGCCCTATAGCCTCTCCAGCAGCACGGTATACCGACGACGAGTAAAAAGAGCCACGAGTTCTCGTTGAATTGAATTTTCAGCTTGCCGCGGAGTCTCAGCAGCAGCCGTCGTTGCTGCTGCTGCTGCTGCTGCGACGATGACTGATTCAGCGTCCCGCCCAAAAGAATGACGCGTTGAATAAATGAGCGCTCCATAGCCCCCGCGAATCAGTGAGAGATAATAGACGCGAGTTATATATAGTGAATCTTCCTCTCTTTTCCTCCTTTTTTTTCAACCAACCGCGTATACGTATATTTTCCAGCCGAGTAAGCTCACCTCATAACTCATTGAGTTATTTCAGTGCAGACACGTACGTTAGGGAAAATTTTCAGGGGAGACAGATAGATAAGACCTCGCGCAGAGAGTAGTAGTAGGTAGGTATAGTTTGACGGGGAATTAATTCCCAAATCCTCGAAGAATTAGCTCGGGCAAGCGCGGCCGAAGGAATCAGGTAAGAAGAACGACTGTAACAGCCTCGTGATGGACTTTTAGTTTGGCGAGCGCGCGAAGAGTTCGAGAGAGAAAGAAAACCTTGCCCTTTCTCTCTCTCTCTCTCTCTCTCGTCATTTAAACTTGTTGAGTGCTTGCGTCAACAAAACTATTACACATTCATTGCTCTCTGTGTATATATAAACGCTAGCCCATATACGCGCGCGCGAGAGCTAGGCGAACGCGGACGTGGATACATTCAACTTTTTAAAGCTTACTCTTCTTTCCTTGACTTGTGTTTGTCGACATTTATTTCCGACGAGGGACTTGAAGAGTCTCTACTTCTCTCTCTCTCTGTCTCTCTCTGTTTTTCCTCCCGTAATTACGTGTCTGCACTATTTTCGCTCTTTCGCTATGTACAGAAGGATCCAAATTTCGTATATACTGCTACAGTATCTAATATGTAGATTTCATATCAAAAAGTTGAGCGTAATATTATTAATTGTTATTGAAAGACATGCTGGCGGGGGTGGTTTCATAAATCTAATTATAATGTGGGCTTTTGCTTTTTGCCTCACTTTTGACCTCAAGAGGCGTGTCACAAGATTTGTCGCGACTCCGAATTTCTCTTATTCGCGTCTTTCATTATGAAAGCCCGTCACGTACCATGAGTGATAATGTTTTATACGATCTTGAGGCCAAGGTAAATTTATACATCATTTGGGATGCAGGATGCAATGTTAGTATGAAAAAAAACAGGGTCTAAGGGATAATATCTATCGAGCAGCTAGTAACGGAAATTCTCGCATGCACGAGTATCAGAGCTTTTCCAAAAATTTGAATCGCGTTCGAGGTAAAAAGATTAATTTAAAAAAGCTGCACCCAATTCAGCTCGGCACAAGCATTTTCATATACACATGCATTTTGCGCAACTGATACGTCGCGCGCGTGCTGCGAGAATTTCCACCACCACGGCTCGCGAATTTGACGAGTGCAAAAGTTTAATCTACGTACTTTTCAGCGTGTAATTCAACACATATACACATACATGGAGAGAGAAGAAGAAAAAAAAATAATAATCCGAGTAGTATATCGATTGCTCTTTGGCTCGCTTCGCATGACAAGCTTTAGCTCGGCGCACGACTCGCTCGCTCGCTCGAGTTCGGCGCGCTCCGCTGTTTTTGAACCACGCGATCAGCTAGCTAGCTGCTGGTGTGCTGCTGTTATACCGCTGCTGAGTGCATGGGGCAAAAACTCATTGCACACATACGTACAAAGACACACACACACACATGCGAGCGCGAGTTGCCGTCGCCGCGGCTGCTGCTGCCACTGCGATTAGAAGCCAAAAAAAAGAACACAAGCAAAACCCGCAGCCCCTGTCATGCATAAATCATTCATATGTATATACCATTCTCGCGTATAGTCGAATCTCGAATCAGAGGAGAGAGAGAAAAAAAACCATAACACGGAAGAAAAGAGATACATCGCGCGCACGGCGGTGGCGGCAAAAAAAAAAGTTTTAAGAGTCAAAAAAAAAAAAGAAAGAAAAAAAGAGGAGGAGTGAAGGTGAAAAAAAAAGCTCTCCCGTGCCACGAGAGAAGAGCAAAGCGCGGCGCGTCGAGAGAACGGGGCGATGGCTTGTGCCAGATTTTGCAGCCCGACCCTACGTTTATATATGTATGTAGTACAGCACGAGCGTGTATATAGGGCCGCACGCACACATATCACGCCCGCGCGTGCTGCTCTCTCGGCAAGAGTTAAAGCTCTCTCTCTCTCTCTCTCTCTCTCTCTCACTCGCTCCTCTCGTCCCCGGTCAAATCGATTCTCAATCTCTGCCTCTCTCTCGCTCTATATAGACATATATAACGCAGCACAACAGCCGCGCACCGCATGTGTGCATGAGGCGGCTGCTGCTGTTGCAGGTATTGTAGCTAGTAGTGGATTTCACATATACAGAGTTGTCGGTTAATACGATTATCATCGATCGTGCGAGTCGCGTAAACGACGGCTCGAAATTTGGCGACGACGAGAACGACTACGATGGACACGACGCGCCCGACAGGGATGACGTCGATAATAATAATAATAATTATCGTGATCGAGTGCAAATGACATTTTTATGAATTATACGAAATTATAATTTTTGGCTCTTTGCTAACTCTGATCTGAGTAGTGGTCGATTGCAAAATCGTTACCTGCTTTACACCTATGCATGAACATGAATTTTTGTCAGCGGCCCCGCAGGACGGTGCCGCAGGACCCGGTAGTACGGAAGGCGTACGAAAAGTGCGTTATTTGTTTTGGATTGGGAGGCTGCTCTCGATCTTCCTGCTGATGATATCTTCGACTGATGATGACGAAGGCCAGAAGAGATGAGCTCTGCTCGCAAACTCGATGATGATGATGATGATGATCTTCGTCCTCGCCGCCTTTTTCTCTTGATTTTGCGGTTTTTTTTCTCGATGAGATTATATTATACAGTTCTAGTGTGATTTACGTAACACGTTCATATAGATATACGGTTATAACTCGCGCACATGCGGGTGGAGCTTTTACCCGAAAAACAGTTTGAAAGCTCTCTTATACTCTCGCTCGGAGACGATCAACGATCGATTTATTTTTTACTTTGTTTTGATTGCTTCACTCTGTTTATTCATTTATTTTTTATTTTTTTAGTGGTCGCCAATAGCTCGAAAATAATTGTCAATAATCGTCACGCTTATCAAGGTCTCGCAGAAGACTGCGCACACTTAGTCGCCGTTTCCAGTCCATGCGTAATGTGTGCCTACTGCTGCTGCTGCTGCTGCTGCTCGATGACGTCTGCACGTATAATGTATATCTTCTGCTGCTGCTTGTGAGACTGCAAGACTGCTATACGAGCGTGCAACTGTTAAAGTTTTCAAAACAACCGCTCGATAATGTTGTCAACTTGCTGTCGAGCTTGCGGCCAATAGATCTCTCACTCACTATCTCTCCAGGGCCCCCGTAGGAGCAGTTTCGCTTTGAGAATCGTTTATACAAGTCCAAAAGCGATTCGATATACTGGCAGTACTAGCCGAGCTTTCTATGCTGCGATCGATGCTTGTTTACTTGGCGCAGTACTTTTGGATCGTGTGCTACTACTGCTGCTGCTACTGCTGTACTACTGACTGCAGCAGTGCCTCTCAAGAGGTACGGAGGCGCAAGCACAGAGATAGCACAGAGGAAGGTTGGTTGGTTGGTTGATTGGTTGGTTGGTCGGTCGGTTGGTTGGTTGGTGGAGAGATAGATAGATAGTCCTGCTGGTGCTGGTGCTGCTGCAAGAGTGAGCGCTGCTCTGCTGCTGGTGTGACGTAAGCTACGCGAGAGCGACCACCTTAATGAATACAGCGGGCACGTGCGAGGGATTTTATGTTGGGCCACCCTCCACAAAACTCGCGCTGCCGTGAACGCGCGGCTGCATGGAAACGGAGGCGCCGACGTGGTGGAGAGTAAGAGCCGCCGCGAGCGCCAAAGCGCAGCCGCGCGCCAGAGCTGCAACTCGCACACGCACCCACACAGACGGACGAGAATTTGCCAAGAGTATAGAGAGTAGGTACTCGGTCCTGAAGAGAGGGTGTGTTGGTGCGCGAGCGCCAGAGAGAGAGAGAGAGAGAGAGAGACGGAGAGAGACCGATGTACACCCCTCCCTTGCAACTACTACTACTACTACTGCTGCTGGCAATCCCCCTGACTCGACTCTAACGCTCTATTATATGTGCATGCAACCCGTCGTCGTCGTCGGGGCTACTACCACCATCGGTGTGGTGCAAGAGCAGTACTGAAGCTACTATCCCTCCGTGTGCAGCAGCCGCGGAGTTTAAGCTGTAGTACTCAGCGCCGCCACCGCCGCCGCTGCTGCTACTGCGCTGAGCTATTACTACGGCTCCTCTCTCCAAGTAGTACATACATCCTCGCACAGGCACATATATAACCCCGCGGAGAGAGCGGAGAAACCAATCGGCTGCGCTGCGGCACGCGCGCGCACCCCCTGCCCCTGGCGAGAGTAGAGCTTGCAGGAAGGCGCGGGAGGGATACGATGTGCTGCTGCTGCCTCCCGCTGTGCGCACGACGTATACGTATACGTTAACGTGGAGCATCCCAACGTTGTTGCTGGCAGCAGCAGCAGCAGAAGGGGTAGTAGTGCAGTGTTGGTTGGAACGTATAATAGTAAGCTCGACTACTACTACTACCAAAGCTCTGTTACCGCTACCGCTTGAAGCTGCATCGTGGCGCCCTCTCGACTCGCCCGTGAAGCATTTTCGCGTGTAGCATACTACTCCGGGGCGGCTCGAAGATTGATCGTCGCCGACGCCGCAGCAGCAGCAGCAGCAGCAGTCGCGTTAATCCCTAACGATCAACTGCTCATTTGCTTTATATCGAGCTCCTCTGTGTGTATATATGCCAAAGGCACAACTGTGTGTGTAGGTAGGAGGCTGGTTGCAGCAGCAGCAGCAGCAGCATCACACCGAGTCTTGCCGCGCGCTACAAGTTTGCCCTCATGTAAGACTCGTTAGGGAAACTTACGCAGCAGCAAAACCGATCTCCCCTGCCCTTTTCTTTTACTTCTCGTCTTCTTAAATATACTTTTTTATGATTATTTTGCAGTCTAGAATCGAAGTTATACTGACGATGATGACGATGATATAAAAAAGAAACGAGCTAGTAGAACTAAGTTGAGCTTGCAAGCTCGCGAAGCCGGCGGGGGTGGATAGTATAGCAAGGGAAAATGTTTCTCACGAAATACACGCAGATATATAGTTTAGAGTTCGTTCGAAGACGATTGTTATCCTGTCTCTCTCTCTCTCTCTCTCGCGCTCCTCGTCAAATAAGATAATTATTATACTCGCGCGTTAGGATGAAATTACAGCGCGCGCGCCCGAGACTCTCGCGTAAATTTTGTTCTGATAAATGATTTATAATGTGTAACTTCCTATTTCTCTTTCCTTCGCTTTTACTTCTCATCCGTTTCGCAAAGATCGCGCGTACACTGCTGCTACTCGCTAGCTAGCTACAACTACTACTGCTGCCGTTGCTACTATTTCAAACTAACTTTAAATAAATGTTGCATGTACAATACAAGAAAGAGAAAGAGGATGGAGAGCTGGAATGGGAGAGAGAGTGAGAGCGTTACACAATTATTTACTTAAAACTTCCAAAATCCTTGTGAATCTTAAAAGACGATTATAGGAGGATATTATACTGGGTACATATTATGCGAGAGAGTGGGAATGCGCTTAAAGTACTTCAACTGTCTATTAATACTTATATTAAGAATGAAACAGGTACTAATTTTGGAAAACTATTTCAAGTTTCTTAAAGGGTATAAAGTAGCTGTAGCTTGAAGTTGACTAACGTGTGATTTGTCTTTCGAAATAGTAATCAAGATTGATTACAGAAAAAATTACAATCAACGTCTATAAAAATTTTTTTAATTACTCAGCGTTCATAAATTACAAATAAAATTTTCATCGAGGTAGATCCATGCACTTTGTGTAAACGGTATCGTCGCAAATAGCCACGAAACAGTATCTCGAGTCTCTGCCCATGTAAAAAGTCTGCAGCTCTCTTATATTGCAGAAAATCCGTCCGATCAGCGACTGTCTGCCGAGCTTGTAATCGGCGTCGATCAGCTGGACGAAAACCGACACCCCGACCCGATAATTGAGCGGGTCGACGGAAAACAGGACGACGGCCCCGCCCTCGGCGCGATTGATCAAGCTGAACAGGTATCGGCGGCTGAACTGATAGCCGAAGAGCTCGTTGCGCACCGCCAGGTAGCGCTTGATCCTCAGCTGGTCGTTCAGAAAGATGCAGTTCAGCTGGGCCCTGGCCTCGATGTAGTGACAGGTGGTGAAATTGCCGTAGGCCGTCGAGTAGACGTCGTGGCCGAAACGATGATACTTGCTCGGCTTGAGGTGGGCCGAGGCGAGCACGCGAAAGTCCGGGCCGACTTTGCGCACCATCGCGCTCCCGGTCGGTGGCTTGACGTGCACGTAATAGTAGCCGGCCGCCGGGCTGTGCGGTCGGATGCTGTAGAAGCGGATCGCGTCCGACGTGTAAAACGGCCTGGAGTCGATATCTGCGGCACACGATTTATTTTCACTCAAAAATCCCTTCTGGATAAAAAAGCTGAAAAAAGATGATTACCTCGCATGGTGGGATTAACGACGGTGGAATCGGGCTCGCCGGCGTCGTCGAATCTGTAGGCGTGATTGTAGCGCACCTCTAGGCCGTCGTCCTCGGTGTCGTTCAGGCTCGTCAGCAGCACGTCGAAGGTATCGTAGTACGGCACGACGTCGATCACCTCCACCGGCTGCGCCTCCGTGTCCTTCATCCTGAAGCTGACGGCGGCTTGGCAATCGGTCGGGTCGACAATGGCGAAGACCCACTCGCCCGTGTGTTTGGCCTCGAGAGGAGTCAAGCGATAATTAAGCAGCCACACGACGAGTTTGCCGTTGCCGAGGCCTACGGCGCGCCTCGACTGTCTCAAGGGATGGCCCAGCGACAAAGGGACGCTGCAGCTTTCACCACGAGCCGATAATACCAGCCGCAAGGGATGTTTGTTTCCATCTTCGTCGTCGTCGTCGTCGCCCTGTACGTCGACTATGTGAATCAAGCTGCCGCCGACAACACTGCTGGTATTGTTGGTGCCGTTGAGCTGCTGCAACTGCACCACAAGCGGCAACGAGGAAGACCGTTGAAAGTGACGGACGATCGACCAGTCGCGATCCATTATGGAGTCATTGTCGCTTACACTCCGAGACTCGATTGTTTCGATTACTGCTGCGAATAACACGAGCAACAGCAGTAGCAGAAGTGGATACATGCTTTCGGTTCGAGTTTGTGGCATTGTCGATAGAGAGAGAGAGATAGAGAGCTAAAAATAAAATCGAGACTTCGATTAAGTTTCGTATAGTGTGCACGCGAGAATCGCTGCTGTGCAATATTGTATGTTGTTGTACGTCGTTTACTATACCTTGTGTACGAAGGGAGACGTTAGCGTCGTCTATGAAGCTCGTTCCTAGAGTTCCAATCGGCGTCGACTGCCCAAAATTTCCATTGCTCTATGAGTTTAAAGAAACTCGTCTCTCTCTCTTTCACAAGCACAAACACGGTCACGCGCACACGAAATCATAATATATCGCCTGGCAAAAATTTTTGAGCGAATTTCTTTCCTACTCTCTTTCTCCGGTCGTCGTCGTCGTCGTCCCCGATAAGCGATAATGTAGACTCGCTGTCTCGAAAAGCTTCGAACCAAGCGTAACCGTCTTGCTTGATAATTTTTCGGCACTGGTGTTGTGGTAGCGAGATTGTGAAAAATGTGCGCGCCGGCCCCAGAGCAGCAACAGCACAGAAATCGACCCGATAAAAATGATGATTAGTGCGCTCGTGATGATGACGACGACGACGACGACGACGATGATGATATGCGCTTGTATATGTTATAAAAGTGAAAAGTCCAGAAATAGAAATGACATATCGAAATTTGAAATGATATTTTTTATTTTACCTCCTATGAAGACTGTACAATAAATATACACAATTACACTGATCACAGTAAATATATATCGGACACATACAGGGGAAAAACCTTAAAAATAAAAATTGATATTTAACATTACAATTTTTAATATACTAAGCAAGTAGTTCGGCCTCAAACCGATCAATACTAACAAAAAAACGTCTGTACAAGTGAGGCTTTTTACTTTTTAAAAGCTCATGTACAATTACTCTGCAGTGTAGTGAAATCATGTCAAACTTTCAGAAATCAAAATATAACATAGTAATTTTTATTTATTATCTAAAACACTATTTTTCACTAATGAAGTGAATTTCAAGCAAAAGCACACAGCTACGGTAATCGATTTTATATTTTTCCATTATCGTCAATAACATTTTGAAAAATCGATCCCTCATTGTTAGTAGCGTCTAGTACTAATTTTTGACGCTACACGACGTTAACAAAATTTCGGTACGATGAAAGTGTGTACATTCGAAATTTGCAAGCAGTCAAAATATGCTCTTATAATATATAAGCATGCTGTCCCTTAAAGTATAGCATATATGTAAGTGAACTTGACCAGGAAATACTTGAATAGATAAAGTTCTTTTCACTAACGCAGCACTACATTGATCTAAATAAAGTACAAAAAAACGTAAAAATAAATAGCATCATCAGTAACGTCAGAGAAGTTTGGGCGGTACAATACACTTGGTCTGGATGGAGTCTCTCGTCGACACGGACACGCAATAGGACTCGTCTCGCATCTCGAAGTCGTACACGCCGTATACGCCGCTGGAAACTTTGCCAAACTCGATCAGTTTGCCGACCACCGGCTCAATCGGAGCACTAGCAGCAGTAGCAGCTCCTCCCTGTCCTCCTCCTCCGGAAACTCGAGGAGCGGCAGCAGTATCAACGAGCTGCAGGTAAACCGAGCAACTTCCGTCCTCGTGATCGGTCGCGTAAACAATGACGACGCCACCCGCCGGCCCGCCGAGATTTCGCACTCTGACGAAGTGCACGTCGCGGTCGAAGGCGATCCTCACGCTCGAGGCGGGCTCGGCGGCGTTGTTGTCGTCGCTCGAGGCCCGCAGATCGCCGCCCACGAGGAGACACTGCAGACTCTTGCGCGACTCCTTGTCGAAGTAGCAGACGGAGAAGCGGCCGTTCAGCACCGAGTAGGCGTGCTCGTCGTAGGTGATGTACTTGGAGTGCTGGAACTCGTAGCGATTCGTCACCTCGAAGCGCGAGTTCAGCTGCTTGAGGACCGACGAGCCGCTCTGGGGCTGACTGGTCATGTAGAAGTAGCCGGCCTCGGAGTCGTACTCCTTGGCCATGAGGATCTTGAGGATCTCCTGATCGGGCAGCACGGGCGCCTGGTATCCGCCTCGAAGGACCTCGCCCCGGTCGTTGTAGCTGACCACTCGGATGTTCTTCGGTCCCTGCCAGCTGTCCATGTTCTGGATGAGCAGGTCGAATCCGTCGCGATAGGGCAGCAGGCCCACGAGCCGCTTGCCGGCACGGGCCACGGTCACGCTGCGGAAGGTGCAGTCGCGCGGGTCGACGATCACCGCGCGCCAGTCGCCTTTGAGAATCGAGATCAGCGGACTGGTGCGCGGCAGCAGCTGATTGATGAGGAACGTCACGACGATCTTGCCGTTGCCGAGGCTGTGGGCGCTGCGCCGACTGATGGACTTGTAGACGAGATTGAGGGGGACGCTGCACTGCTTGCACTGCTCGTCCACGAATTCCAGCTTGACGCTGTTGGCGTTCTCGAGCGAGCCCGACACGTAAATCAACCGATCCTCGGCATTCTTTACCGGTATCGGCACGTGCTTGAGGCCGTAGTTGCGCGTCTTCCACGGCAGACTGAAGTTGTAATGTTCGAAATGCGCCGCTTCGAGACTGCCGATCAAGCTCGAGACGAGCAGCGTCGCGATGATCCCGAAATTCAGTGTCATCTTGATGAGGGATCCTGTGCGACACAACAAGTGTTGATGATTGTTGATGACCTTTACCGCGCATGTATAACACCGAACGAGCTCGATGAGCGGGAAACAAAAAACAAAGAGAATAACATTCGACTTACCAGTTTTGCAACAGCCAAAGACGAAACGCCGAGAAGAGCCAAAAGTTGAAAACTAAACATATACCATCGACGTTGATCCGCGCAGACACAGCGACGACGCAAAACGGCGCAGATCGTAGTAGTAACCGATCACGATCGAGAGAGTGTATGTTGTGTTGTTGAATTTGTTTCAATTGTCAGTCCTAATTCGGCGTATTAAAAAAGTTTTATTATCAACGAGGCCGCATGTGACTCGCGTCGTCGTCGTCGATGCTGTTGTCGTCTCTCTGTCTCACTCACTCCGCAATCTAACTATATATATGTCGTGTGTGCACCGAGCCAAAGAGCCAACTATTCATTTCAATTTATCGAGTGACACTGCGTCGAGCTGCCGCGGCGTCTTCGGCACGTAACGTATCGCGAAGCGCTCTCAGGCGCGCGCGAGAGAAAGAGAGAGATCTGCGTGCGTATGCCTGTACGTAAATTATGTGTATGTGTATAGCATCTTACTCTGGAACGCGTGTATCTTGCTGCCGATGAGCATCGCGTCGTTTGTGCTTGTGTGCGAGAGAAAGAGAGATTAAGTGTGCGCGGATTTTTTTCTCCAGATTTCGAGTATTATAATGCCGCACTCGTGCTAATGTGTGCGTGCTATACGAGCGCCCGAGAGAGGACGGCGGCGCGCTCTGTTTCCGCTGTAAAAGCCCACCCGAGCGAGCTTCGAAACGGAAGTTTTTTTCGATGACCGACCAAAATTTTGCTGAATAATCGTTTTTGCGCATGGCCCACTGGCCAATGATTAATCACTTCCTCGCCGGAGATTCCCGATCTTCTTATCAATGAACTCAAAACATGCGTACATTATAGGGTCAATTTCTTCCCGAATAAATTAGAATCGATAGCGTAGATTTTGGGTAAATGATCTCATTTATTATCGCACGTGCATGTATTCAAAATGCAGGAAAAAAAGGTCTGCGGAGAGAAAAAAGTACGTGACAATGATGAGGCAAATATCGTATTGACCATTAGCTATATTGTGTATGATTATATAAATACACATTTCCGAGCGAACCTTGAACTCTCGTCGATTGATCGATTTATACATTTGTTTTAAAGAGAGAAAATACGATTGTACCTTGTATCCTTATCTTTACGGTATACGCATTAAAGACTTACACTCATATTCACATAAGAAAATACGATAGGTCGCACACAGAGAATCAATGTTTTTTCCTCGATCGATTGTTTTTTTTTCTCCCCCCAAAACAACAATGGCAACAACAAACAAGTCCGAAATCGCGCGCGCACTCGCGGCGTTGCAATTATCGTCTGTCAGATTATAAAGAGCTTTATTGCTCTTTTTCCCTATTTTTTTCAACAATTTTTTCTTTTATTTTCATTTCTTTTTGCCGAACATTCTCGCGTGCGCTACGAGCTTGATATCGAGCTAAAATTTATCGAAAATAAAATACTCTCTCTCCACTGCTGCTACTGCTGCTCGCACAGAAAAATCCAGACGAAACCATCGCATCGAAAATAGTATTTACGAGGAGTAAACTCAATGTAAGAGAGTTGCATTGTAAGCCCGAACGAGGGCTTGGGGGATGTAGCCTTCCATTCCAATGGTAGAAAAATGTGCTTGGGTAGTACATTTTCCACTCCCAGCTCGTGTGTGTGGGTGTAGGTACTCTATACCTGTGCACACTGTTCTATACACATACGTGCCAAAATCCTGAAATCGTATACATAGCTTTTTGTTATATATACGTACGTACAGTACGCCAACGAATTGAGTTATGCATGAGTTCGAGGGAAAAAGTTTTATTTGATTCTTTTTGCCTGGTGTCCTTTTTATTATTTTTCCTCCTTTTTTTTCGTTGCCTGCCCCCGTTGTTTCGTAGAATACTAGACTATACAACGCGCGAGCCCTTGAGCGGAAAAATCTTGCTAAAAGCTCGAAGAATTCGCTGTTTTCTCAGCCCAGCCGCCCCTCAATAATATGGCGTAGAAGTTGAAAAATATATATAACGCGCGCGTATAGGTGTCGATCGATTGGTCAATAGATCAACTTCGTGAACGGTACGTTTCTTCGTACTCCGACCGCATACATCAGGGCAGCGGCAGCAGCAGTAGCAGGGGGAAAAATTTCGCAAACACCAAAATTGATATATAACGGGCAGGGAGAAAATATTCAGCCTCCGGATTTTCCGTGGGGACTCCCTGTTCTTACACACACACACACGAAGTCAGTACGATGCAACAAAATTTCGCTAAGGGCTAATATACGATGTATAAAATGGCCAATACACGTGTTCGAACTGTACGCAGGTATACCGTTCTAATACTCGTACTTGTTTCCATATATCAGTTTCTCTCTTGTCGCGCGCAGTGAACGTTTTTTTTTCACGATGTACTACGATGTATGAATATATATTTCTCTACCGAAGGGTATCTATTCCGAAACGTTTGTAAAACACAGGAATTGCGCAGAGGGTGAATCTTGGGATATCGCTTGCCGTCACATTCGGTCACGCAAATACTTCCGTTTTTCAATCGAAAATCGTCTCTCACTACGTATACGTATTATGTGTCATACGTATAGAAAGAGAAACGCCCCACACACGCATCAGAAGTCGTAATGTAAAAAAAGCTCAGCGCATATTTATCGAATCGGATGTGTATAGCGCACCGAGATTGTTACAAACGCGTTTGTGTGCGTACATGAATGCGTGCGTGTGTGTGTGTGTATGTACCTCTCGTTCTTTCTCTCTCTGCGCTCGACGGTAAACAGCATCACCGCCACCGCCGCCGACTGAAAAGCGAACACCGAGCACAAAAGCTTTACAACGGGCCCTTGTACAGTTTCTATTGAAAGCTCATGTATATACTACACGCACACAAACACACTACACGCACATAAACACATGGCGAACGAGCTTGCACTTGTGCAAGATATACGATGCGCGAAAAACCGCAGAATTGCGAAGTATTGTCTTTCTTTCTTTCGTTTTACCTCTATGTGTGTGTGTGTGTGTGTGTGTGTGTGTGTGTGTGTGTGTGTGTGTGTGTGTGTGCGGGTGTGGGTGTACGTGAATGGGAATAGAGGGAGGCTGGGGAACAAAAAAAGTATAATAATAATAATAATAATGATAATAATAAAAGAGACAAGCTTCCGGAAGTTTTCCACGCGCGGCGTTACAGCGGAAATTCGCGCATGATGTCGATTGTTGATGAGGATGGAGAAGCTTTGTTGTGTGCGTGTATACAACAAACCGAGGCTCGCCGCGCGCGCGCGCATGTGTCGCAAATAAAAACGGAGCTCGCGTATTACTGATTTCTCCTTTTTTTTCTGCAGCATTTTTTTTCTTTCTTTTATTTTGTTGGGCTTTTTGCGCAGGATTTTGCAGAAGGTGACTTCATCCACATCGCTCGCGTAAAATAGATTGCAAAAATGTAAAAAAAAGAAGGAAAAAAAAGGAAGAGAGAGAGAGAGAGAAAAACGTAATTGCATCAAATAATAAAACGGTCGATTCTCATTTACGCGATTATTTCAATTACTACGTGGACTGATTGATTTCTCGATAATTTGGCGTTTCGCGAAACGACTAATTGAGAAAATATTCGCTAGATATGAAGTACAGGGATTGCCCATTGCGTTGTACAGAGCTAGTCAGCGAGAGAGAGAGAGAGAGAGAGAGATCTTGAATTACGAATATACACTCGATAACAGAGAGTGAGAGATGTAATAATAGAAATGCGAGACGAACTTTGCAGAGAAAGAGAGAGAAAAGAAGTAAACGAAATGAAAAAAGTTGAAGGAGGTGTACGATATCTAGTTTTGTCGAAGTTTAGAGCTTTTATACGCTGGCACGCGTGTAAAGCTATACTACTCAGAGAGAGAGAGAGCGAGGCACGAGCCCGCGTTTGACGTTTTTTTCCATTGACGTCGACGCAATATTTTGAAATGCAATTTTTTTTATAAAATAACTTGTAATTTCAGGCTTTTTATTCGTAGCAGCGGCGAGAGTGTGTGCGTATACGATTTCTTGTTTAAAAATATGCACTGGTGCAAAATCCTAGTTCACGAACGAAAAAACTGTAGTTGTCGCACAGCGCGCCTTTTTCTCACTCTCATGTAAAGTGTGTACACGAAAAAATGAACAAAACAGAGAAGAGAAAAAAAAGAAGAAAAATGAAATTAGTATTATGCATGAGAACCTTTACTTGTGCGCAAGCTCCCGTCACTCTCACTCTCTCACTCTCTCAAGAGAGAAAAAAGAAAGAGAGAGCCTAGAGAAGCACATACACACGCGATGCGAAAAATAAAAAAGCTCCTGTGTCTATGAGTTGCATGAGTGAAAGGTGTAAACGACAACAACAGTGGATGACGTTTTCTCTCTCTCTCTCTCTCTCTCTAACTCCCTTTTTTTTGATACAAAAAAAAATGGTTGTAAAGTAAGACTGCGTAAATATCACGTTTTCCCACCGAAGCGCATCCTCCTCTGTACGTCGTATTTTGACTCGTCATTATACAGAAAAGAGAAGCAAAACAAAATTACAATAAAACTTGAAACATAACTGCTTTTTTTAGAAGTAGAGTTGAGGAAAAATTTTCCCTGGCAAAATTTTTAATGAAAACTTTATGAAAGAATTTGTTTAATTTATGAAGACAGAGAGAGAGAGAGAGAGAGAAAAATTGCATACACAGATAGATCTCGCATATTATATACAGACGATAAATTAAACGTCCACTGTTTATCATATTCAATGAGCAAAGATTTTAATATTATATCTGATCAGTAACTTTTGCATCGCTCAAAGTTTTTGATTAAATATCATTTCGATTGGTTCTCTCTCGCGTTATTTCTCTCATTTTTTTCGTGAGCATGCAGAGAGATAGCAAAAGTTTTGTAATACAACACTCTATGACGCGCGGTACGCCGACGCGTTTATTAAAAATGCAACCATTAATCAAAGCTTTTACCTGCGTACATACATACACCGCGCGCGCGTATGTATTCATAATTGACGCTCGCATTTCGAAATCACGAAATTTCAAAGGGTTTCGAAAATCGCTCTCGGTCAAATTGCCAACTCGTGCAAGCGAGCAGCAAAGACACATTCTGGCTCTATTTTTTTCTGCCTATCCCCTTGCTTGCCGGACTTGGCTATTAAAGCGCTAGCTAGCTCTCGTCGAGCTTGGTTAATTCACCCTTTCCGACGTGCGCTCAAGGTGCGGTGGTTGTGCGTTGGAGCCGTGCTGTATACGTACTTGAGTTTTAGATATTGCGAGGCTAGGGCCTAAATGCCATACGCGATTACGCGTAGGTTTGAACGAAGAGAATTCGATATGTATAT